CATAATTCAAATTTTCACACCTTTTTTCTCAAAGTCAATTTCAATTAAATCCCAAATAATATTTTTACCCAATTTTATCATTATTATTATTTTTATTTTCATCAATTAAATTAAATCAAATAAAAAATCAAATAAAATTTCAATAATTACAAAATAAAATAAATTGAGAAAAAAAATAATAATAATATACTTGGGGTGTTACATTTTATTTTCATAACACAATATTTAAATAAATTTCAGTGCCAAATATCAATTATAAAGTATTTTAAAAACTCACAAATTGTACTCAATAAATTTTAACATGATAAAATCATCATAAAATATATCAATTATATTAAAAATATAATATAAAAATATATGGAATCCATAATCTAAAAAAAATGAATTAATAAAAGAATATTCATATATAAACATTATAAATAGTAATAATAATAATATTATGAACTTAGATATTTGATGAATTAACCATGTTAAGATTAGTGGATCATATATGAATGGATAAACTAAAAATATCTACTATAAAAAATCGAACTTATATTAATAATATATTATAAATTTATAAATATACGACAACGATTAAATAAAATAATATAAAATAAATAAGAATAGAATATAAGAAAATAGATTTTAAAAAAATATTTATTTAAATTAATCATCTTAGGAAGTTTTTTACAACCTCCATTTATAGGGGGTAGATGGGATTATAAATAAAGTTACAAATTAATTAAAATAGTATGGAAGAGGAAGAGGTGGAATGAGAAGAGATATAAACATTCACGACCATGAAATTTAAATAATTCATAATGTGATTTATTTGTCCAAATAAATATTTGTTTACATATTATCATATTTTTTAAAAAATTATGTTATCAAAACTAATTATATGATTCAGGCTTGTTAAATTTACAATGAAATTTAAGCAAAATTAGTAGAACTTATTTAGATAGTATGAGTTAAAAGACAAGGTTTGAAATAAATGGCAATTTAGTGAATTATATTTGAATATTTTAAAACTTGATTATGACTTTAAATTGAATATATTAACTCATAAGATAACCATTATTTATTTTTTATAATGTAGTTTTTATTTATTTAAAAATCAACTAAAAAGTTATTTAAATAGTAAAAAGTATTTAATTTTGATAATTAAAATATAATTAGAAAAGAGATAAAAGGCGATGGACCAGATACGTAATTAAGCATTTTGAAAATGTATTTATTTTGAAGGAAAATTACAAGTCCTATTAGTATAAAATATTATTTTAAATTTCAATTTATAAATAAATCTTACACCATTTAGATTTGTAAAATATTTATATTTTTATTTCAATTTATAAAAAATGGCTCTACCGCCCAAATCACGGAAAAGCAATTAACCCCCAAAAAAAAAAAAAAAAAAAAAAAAACTTTGGGACTCCAACAAACATGCCAATGTTTTAGTTTGCTGGAATCTACCTTTGACTGCTCCGGAAATTCCCTGCTCCCCACGCCTTCTAGAAGGCGTCAGCTACGCGCAACCCACCTTTTTCCACTTTTCATTTCTCGTCAACAACTCTCCCAGATCATGCCACGTGTCACAATTTAGCCTTAGACTCTCACGTGCCAAAATTCCAGACCAACGCCGTTAGTCGATCATCAGTAATAAATCAAATGTTAAGTCACAGTAAAACGGTAAAAATCGCGCTTTTTTTTTTTTTTTTTAACAAAACTCGTTTCCGTCAATTTTTTTTATAAATTCCTCTCTAAAAGAAATCTTCATCGGCAAGAAAAACAGGGAAATCGTCCTCTTCCTTATAAGGCGCTAAACAAACAACTAACAACAACAGCAGCAATAAACAACAAAAGACACCCCACACTCTCCCAACCTCCAGGTTTCACCTGACGCCAGACGGTGATCTTCTGGATGATAATTTCTCATCCTGCCATGAGCGACCATGAGCTGCTCTGTGGATCCCCGCTGCACACGGTGCCTACTCTGGATTTCGATCGGCTTATGGTGGTTTCGGCGCTAGGGCGTGGCGCCAAGGGCGTGGTGTTTTTGGTCAGAGAGGAGGAGGAGGAGGAGGAATCTGCAGGGGAGCTGCTCGCTTTGAAGGTTATACTCAGAGATTCCATCGAGAAGAAGAAGCACCACGATGGAAAAGATGGAAATGAGTACAAGAGGGTTATTTTCGAGCAGCAGGTCTTGAAGCGTTTCGATCACGCGTTATTACCGCGACTTAGAGGAGTCTTGGCTACTGAAAAGGTTGTGGGATATGCCATTGATTATTGCCCAGGGCGTGACCTTAATTTTCTCAGGAAAAAGCAGACCGAGAAAATGTTTTCTGATGATATTATTAGGTAATTATCCTGTTGTTCTCCTTATACGTTGTTGAACTTCATTTCTTGAAATCTTTGCTTAACCCCAGGTTATGTATTTTTTATATTTCTTTCCTGTTTGGCTCCCATGAAAATGGAATTAAAATTGATCCCCACTTGTTCTGTTCAAATTTCTGTTTGTTTTCGTTTTTTCCGCAGCCAAGCGGGAACCTGGCCGGGGTTTTATTTTTGGCCCGTTGAAAAATTTTGCGATTCAACTGCCTATTTGTGGCTGTAAATTTATATGCCTTTTGTCTTGTCGTGATTAGAATTTCTGAAATCGACTTCAATGATTGAAGTAATTTCCGTTTGGATACTGAGAAACGAAGGATACATTATGTGTTTCCATTAAAGAGTACTGTTCAGAGTTTCGAGTCATGTTCTCCACATTTTGGTTGATGATTGATTCATGTTTTCTACATTTGAATTTATGGTGTTGATTTGGTTTATATATATAGGTTTTATGCGGCTGAATTAGTTCTCGCAATGGAGTACTTGCACAATCAAGGGATCGTGTACAGAGATTTAAAGCCCGAAAACATAATGATTCAAGAGAATGGCCATATAATGCTCGTCGATTTCGACCTCTCCACAAAGCTCTCTCCTAGATCTGCCCAATCATCGCCATCTCCCATTTCGATCCAGAAAAGTGAATCAGTGAGGAAGAAACGGTTCTCGCTATTCCAAAGGTGGTGCAACTCCGGAATCTTGCCGGACGACTCTGCCCCTCATCCTGAATCGTCATCCGAGACAGAGACGGACTCATCGGAGAAATCCAACTCGTTCGTCGGAACGGAGGAGTACGTGGCACCGGAAATCATATCCGGCGACGGCCACGATTTCGAAGTGGACTGGTGGTCCCTAGGGGTGGTTCTATACGAGATGCTGTACGGGAGGACACCGTTCAAGGGTCCGACCAGGAAGGAAACGTTCTACCGGATCCTGATGAAGACGCCGGACCTAGTGGGTGAAAAGACGGCGTTGAGGGACTTGATCGGAAAGCTCTTGGAAAAGAACCCAAAGCAGAGGATCACAGTGGAGGGAATCAAGAGCCATAGTTTCTTCAGCGGGGTTGATTGGGAGATGGTGTTGCAGTTATCTAGGACACCATATATTCCTTGCCAGGAGGGTTTGAATGGAAGTGAGAAGGAAGGAATTAAAAGAGATGATGTAGAAATGTTCGTGGAAAAAATATTTGGGAGTGAAGACGGTAAAGTCGAGGGGGTTGATGACAATGGGAACTGGGTAAAAGGAGTTAACAATGAATCATGTGAAGTTAGTAATTTTTTGGTTTTTTAAAAATTTAAATTTATAAAATATATATATATATATATATTTGTATATAGGTAAATAAAATTACCTTGTTTTTTAACTGAGGTAAATAAAATACGTAAAATGAGCTGGTCGAATTATTATTAATTACTTTTATTGTATTTAAAGCAAGTAATTAGATAGTCACGTGTAGAGTTAATAATTAATCTTGTTTTAGTCAAGGGGAAGGGTTGTTAGAGTTTACAATGCATGTGACAATATGGTAGTCATCACGTTTTTTCTCTCCTCATGTTGCTTAGTACACAAGTTTATGGCTCAATTTTTCACTTCATAACAAATCTCTTTTTTAAAAAAAGTGGCTTTTCCAATATTGTCTTTACAAAAAATATAAGAGTCAGAATTTTTTACATATAAAATAATATCGTATTGTAAACTATTCATATTATTTAACTTAGCCAAAGATTTTTAAAATTTATTAACATTATATAAGAATTGTTTTAGTGTTTTAAATGCTTATTTTATATTTAAAAATAAATTTTAAATATTTTTGTTTCAATATTATTATTTAATAAATAATGTTTATTAAAATATAAATATGGTTTTAATTTTTTAAGTTTAAATACATTTTTATATTCATCCGTGACTAACAACACATATGACCGATGTTATAAACTAGTTAGTAAGGTATACTTTCTAATTAATTATTTTTTAAATAAAAGAATTAGGTGCTAATCAAAAAAATACCCAACGGAGCGAGCATCTGCCGTTCAAATCAGCACCTAAACTAATACCCATATAGAGCAGCAGTTGGCAGCTTTATGTAGTTACAATAGAAAAGGTCTGTTTGTGTACACGATCACTGTCAATCGTATCATAATTAGGTTGGCCTACTTTATACACGATCACATATTTCCTGTAGTTTTTAAGTCCGTGCTCATAAATTCATATGCAAAAATAACGCCAAATGAGAAATGAACATCATTCCAGTTGTAGATAGCAATGCATATATTTATAGATATGGACCAGTCACTATTAATTGTATCCTTCCCATTATTTATATATATGTCCACCCAATATTACAAATTTTCCTTTTTGCATACATCTGGCAAATTTCAAAACATTTAATTATATGTATGCATATAAAAAAATACTCAGAGGGATATTCCTAATGTACTCGCCGACTCTATTTAATATTACTGTTGTCGGCTGGGCAGGCAAAATTCCATCTCGTGATAGTTTTGTCTTCTAAAATGGGGAAAATATCACCTCAAAATTTATAACTTTTGTCTTTGGCATAAACAAATTGTACTTTTTTCTATTTAATTTTCATGCGATACAAATTAGTTGTAACGTATTATTAGAAGAAGAGAAGAGAGGGCAGCAAAAGAGAGAGCAGAATGATGAAGAAAAAAAAACTACTCTTTGAGTTCACTTTTACAGCCTAATGGAATATATACTGCCATTGTACAACAAATGGTAGAAGAAAACAAAAACGGTTACATTACAAACAATAAACTAATTTCAGTTTAACACAAACTAATCTTAATATCTTCTAATTAATCTTAATACTCCCCCTCAAGATGGAAAGTACAAATTTATTGTACCCATCTTGTTCAATAAATTATCGAACTGCGTATGATAAAGTGCCTTTATCATTAAATCTGCCAGTTCATTCCGAATAGATATATGCATCGTCTTAAATGTACCATCTTGAATCCTTTCATGAACAAAATGGCAGTCAAGTTCAATATGTTTTGTTCTCTCATGATATAATGAATTTAAAGCAATGTGTAGAGCTGCCTGATTATCATAGTAAAATAATGCAGGACCTTGATGTTGCACCCTTAAATCTCGTAACAATTTCAGAATCCATATTATTTCGCAAGTAGTGTTGGTCATAGAACGATATGGCTTCTGCAGATGACCGAGATACAACTTGCTATTTCTTTAATTTCCATGAGACTAATGAAGACCCAAGAAAAACACAATAACAAGTTAGAGATCTTCTAGTGTCAGGACATGTCCCCCAATCAGCATCAGAAAATGCCTTAATCTGAATGGCAAATGATGAAGGGAAGAAGAGACCTTGTCCAGGTGTCCTCTTGATATACTGGAGAATCCGCAAAGCAGCTTGAAGGTGACTGGTCCTGGGAGCAGCAAGAAACTGACTCAGTCTATTAACAGAATAGCATATGTAAGGGCGAGAGATGGTTAAGTACAACAATTTTTCAATCAGTCGCCGATAACTTGTGATATCACTCAGAAGTTCTCCATCATCTTTAGACATCTTAATATTGGGTTCCATGGGAGTAGATGAGGGTTTACAACAAAGATATCCAGTTTCAGTTAACAGATCCAACACATTTTTTTGGTATAAGGTGATTCCTGTGTCATTTCTTGCAATTTCAAGTCCAAAAAATATCGGAGAGTCCCCAAATTTTTCATTTTAAATTTTTGTTTGAGTGTAACTTTGAGTTCTTCGACAGCCTGATTATCATTACCAGCAATAACAATATCATCAACATACACCAACAATGCTAGAAAAACATTACCCTACTACTTGACAAATAAGGAGTGGTCACATTGTGACTGATGGAAACCTTCTTGAAGTAATACTTGTGAGAACTTATGAAACCACTGTCGGGAAGCCTGTCTCAACCTATAGATTGATTTGTGTAGTCGGCAAACGAGTTGATGTGGAAGAGTCTTCCCCTCTCGAGAAGAATAGCCTGGAGGAATAGTCATATAAACTTCTTCATGAAGGTCACCATGAAGGAAAGCATTGGTGACGTCCAACTGAGTCAGACTCCAACCATGGATAGTAGTCAGTGAAAGTAAAATTTTGACAGTAACTAATTTTGCAACATGAGAGAAAGTGTCAATGAAATAGATGCCAAATTGTTGTGTGTAGCCCTTAACAACCAGACAGGCTTTATGTCTTTCTACGGTCCCATCAGCTTGATATTTAACTTTATAAACCCACTTACAATCAACAATTTTCTTCCCAGGTGGGAGGGAAACAATAGACCAAGTGTTATTGTTCTCTAAGGCACGTAGCTCCATATTCATAGTGTTCATCCAAACAGCCGACTGGATAGCCTCAGAAAAGTTGGTAGGCTCAGTATGGGAGGAAATGACACAAATAAAGTTTTAATATTGAGGTGTAAGTTTTTTATAAGTAAGGAATGAGGAAATGGGATAAAATGCATGTGTATCTGTATGGTAGCAGTGATAGTCAGACAAATAAGAAGGTGATCGTGTTACACGCAGAGGGCGAGATGATAGTGTTTGGGAAGACTCATGCGGTATATCAAGAGAAACTGATGATTGTGTAGGTATATGGAGAGGAAGAGGTAAAACACGGTCATGAAAAAGATCACTGTGAATAGGACTAAGTGAGTGGGATGAAAGAAACTGAAAGATATGTTCATGAAAAATGACATTACGAGATATGATGATTTGATTGCTCTCGATGTCGAGAAGTTTGTATCCTTTGTAACCCGAAGGGTAACCGAGGAAGACACAAGCCCTAGAACGATGTGAAAATTTATGGCGATGACTATCGAGAGTGGAGTAGTAGTATAGACAATCAAAGGTACGCAAATGATCATAAGATGGTTTTTTGTGAGTTAATAATTCGAATGGAGTTTTATTAGACAACAAAGGGGAAGGTGTACGGTTGATTAGGTAAACAACAGTCAAGATGCAATCGCCCCAATAGACAATGGGAACATAGGATTGAAACAGTAAGGCATGTGCCACATTTAAAATGTGTTGATGTTTGCGTTCGACAACAGAGTTTTGTTGGCGAGTCTCAATACAGGAATGATAAAAAAACAATGCCTTTTGACATGAAAAATAAATAAAAATTCAACTCATGTGCATTGTCAGATCTCACAGATTTAATAAGAATTTTATATTGTATAAGGATGAGAGTATAAAAGTCAGAAAAAATTGTAAGAACTTCGGACTTTTGACAAAGGAGATACACCCAAGTAGTTCGAGTGCAATCATCAATAATTGTAAGAAAATATTTGTATCCCTTGATAGTGGGCGTAGAAAAGGGACCCCAAATGTCGATGTGGATTAAATCAAATAGATGGTCAGATAATTTATTTTTAGAAACAAAAGACAATTTACGTTGTTTAGCCAAAATGACAAATTTCGCAATGAGAAATATTCGAAGTCTGTAAATCTTTATTAATATACTGAAGTTTTACATAGGAAGGATGACCCATTCTAAAATGTCATAGGCTACTTTTAGAGATAGTGGAAACATAATTAACAGTGGGAAAAGGAAAATATGTAGTAATTAAGTAGTAGAGGTTGCTAATGCGTCTACCCTTCCTAATCAACAAGTCCCGAGTGCGGTCCTAGATGACACAAGAATGAAGAGAAAAATTAACCATACAGTTGTGGGTGGTGGTCAACATGCTGACACTGACAAGGTTAAAGGAAAAATGAGGAACAAATAGAACATCATGTAGAGTTAGGGTGTCGGTGAGAAGTACATTTTCAAGTTGATTAACTAGCACTGAACTACCATTTGGTAAAGTGACTGGGATGGGTGCAACATGTTTAAGATTTATGAAAAGGGTGGGTGTGCAACATATGTGATGTGTGGCTCCAGAGTCAATGATCCAGCATTTAGAGGTAAGTGTGTGTGTGAAATTGGAAAGGCAAAAGGGTGTGGAGGATATACCTGCCGCGTGAAGATTAGGAGTGGCGTGATTGGTGGGGTGAGGCTGTCCAGTGAGATGATGGAGCTCGTGTGGTAGAAATGTGCACTTAGGTGGGCAATAATGTTCTGAATTTGCGATGTGCTTAAATCATCGATAGGAGCAGCAGAATTAAGTGCCGGTAAGCAGGTGTTGACGGAGGCAGTGAAATTTGGCGTTGGTCGCGTAATCGGGTGTGTTCCCGAGGAGGAAGAAGACTTGTGTTCTGGAAAAAACTCTTCATGGGCCAAGGCTTGGTGGGCAAAAGAAAAACTGGGCCTGGATTTAGGACTAGTTAAATTAAATGATATGTTTCCAGGAGTGGGCCGAGATTGAGTTGAGGCGTTGCGAGCTTGGGCTTGTGTTTGGACATGTCCATCATTAAAAACAGGTGAGTGTATTTTGGGCTTGGGCTTGAGGCCCGATGGGCCATGCAGACGGTAGCATCTGTCCACAGTGTGGCCCACAAGTCCACAGTGTGAACAGGTGGGTCGTCTCCTATCTTGAGTTAGGGCAACGGAAGAACCAGACCCTTGAGCCATTTCTGTGTATGCGTCGAAGCCGATTGCACGGTGCCGCTCTTCTTACACCACCAGCGAGAAGGCCTTCAAAATGGATGGAGAACATTCCATCATTAGAATTTAGGCCCTAACAGCAGCATAGGAAGGATTCAATCCCATTAAAAAGGTCATGACAAACTCTTGCTCCTGATAATCATTCCACACCTTCATGTTTCCACAATGACAGGTTGGAGCTAGTTGATAAGTTTTGAGTTTGTCCCAGATTGTTTTCATCCGCGTATAATATGCGTTGATGCGGAGTGACCCTTGAGCAAGGTTGTTCACGCTCTATTTCAGTTGGTAGATATGCGGCGCATTGCTCTGCTGATAACGAAGCCGCAAATCGGTCCAGACAGATCGTGCACTTTCATGGTATAATAAGCTGCGGCAGTGGAGTCGGTGTTGCTCGGTTGATCGTAGGTTCCGTCTATGAAACCCAATTTATTTTTGGTGTTCAGTGCTATTCTGACTGCTCTCTCCCATGTGTTGTAATTGTTGCCATTAAGAAGATTGGATACCAAGACTAAACCGGGATGGTCGGCACTGTGAAGGAAGAACGGGTTTTGGAGGTCATTTGATTGCTCTCTAGCCATTGAAGATTAAATGTTTGAAGCTCAATCACTGAGCTAAGGATGTTTGATTAATTAATCCGCTCTGATACCATGTTAGAAAAAGAAAAGAGAGGGCAAAAGAGAAGGCAAAGAGAGAGCAGCATGATGAAGAAAAAATACTCCCTGAGTTTACTTTTACAGCCTAATAGAATATGTACTGCCATTGTACAACAAATGGTAGAAGAAAACAAAAATGGTTACATTACAAACAACAAACTAATTTTATCTTAACACAAACTAATCTTAATATCTTCTAATTAATCTTAATATGTATAAATAAATTAACTTCAATTGTGTAATTATAAATTTTGTGGTTTTACATTCTAATGAATGAATCACGATTGCTTACTTAGATATGCGATTAACTTGAAAATAAACAACTATTTTTTATCTTTATTTAATGAAATTATAATTTAAACAAAAGTCAACATAAAATTGAAGAAGGAAAACGTGATTTCTCATGTAATTCTGACTATGTTGTTGATACGGCATGTAAGATATTGTTCTTATTCTATATGCTAAATGCCCTGTATAAGTCTTCACAATTTTAAGTTTTGTTTAATTGAATGCTCATTATTTTATTTTATTTTTTTTGAAAGTTTGTAATCATTGAAAGATTAACTTTATTACTATATTTGAAAGAAATTAAAAAAGTACTGTTTTAAAATAATTAAGTACTTATATAGAGTAGATTATTTTAAAACATAACACATTAATATATTAAAATTAAATTAGAAAGGCAGCCATTAAATTAATATATGGTTGCCAGTGTGTTAGTAAACACCGTTGAAATATCAATCCTGTGAGAAATAATTTGGTGGGCATCAGCTACCAATTTGAATGGTCAATATAATTTTGAAAGTTTTGATTTTTATAGTCAACTGTTCAATTTAATATATTGTTCTTATTCTATATGTAAGATATTGTTCTTATTCTATATGCTAAATGCCCTGTATAAGTCTTCACAATTTTAAGTTTTGTTTAATTGAATGCTCATTATTTTATTTTATTTTTTTTGAAAGTTTGTAATCATTGAAAGATTAACTTTATTACTATATTTGAAAGAAATTAAAAAAGTACTGTTTTAAAATAATTAAGTACTTATATAGAGTAGATTATTTTAAAACATAACACATTAATATATTAAAATTAAATTAGAAAGGCAGCCATTAAATTAATATATGGTTGCCAGTGTGTTAGTAAACACCGTTGAAATATCAATCCTGTGAGAAATAATTTGGTGGGCATCAGCTACCAATTTGAATGGTCAATATAATTTTGAAAGTTTTGATTTTTATAGTCAACTGTTCAATTTAATTGGCCGTTGAGAAATTCCGCCCCTATTATTTATATATAGATACATTACATTCGTCATCGCATCTGATATTTTTTAAGAGAAATGTTATTTTTTTTTCCAAATAATTGAAATAGAAGATAGATTATAATTTTTGTTTATTTATTAAAATTTATAATTACATATTTAATAAAAAGATAAGTGTGATGAGTTAAATGATTAATTTGTAACAAATAAATATTGCAATAATAATGTTCGGTCATAAAATAATGACACAGATTTTCTGAGTAAATAGTAAATTGTGACGGCTTGATTTTGATTTTACTAATCTAAGTTAAGTAGTCAATGTTTGAATTCCATTCTTATTACTTGTTCATTAATCTAAAATTTGAAGAGATATTTAATCTTGCTGTGCATGAATCCATGTAAAAAATAAAAATAAAAATAGAAAGCCGCAATTAATAAAAGAAAGTATGCTTTATTGTGGTGGAGCTTGGTCTTTTTTTCTTGTAGTGTCAATGGCTTAATAAAACAAAAATTAAAAAATAGATTTAGAGTATCCAGAAACTGGGTGATTACAAAATTTGATAAAGACCCTACTAATAATAATATTGGTACGAGTCAGTAAAAAATTGACAAGGTGGATAAATTTGGTTGTGAAAATAATTTGGTAAATTACTCGTCCCGGTAAAAGTTTAATGTTGAACAGGCCAAGTCTCTAGTCTAAACGCAAGCGGCTAATATTATTAGCCAACTCCTTTACAATTTTGGAATTTTTTTTTTTTTCAAAAAAGAAAATAATAATTGCGCACGTGCTGTGGTTAGACGTCGTCATCGACCAACCAAACAATTGGTACACTGTCAATAGTTAACTCGACTTTGACAGATGTAAGGAACAAAGTGGCGGGTGAGAGTTAGTGGTAAGGCGGGGGTCGGGAAAAAGCAAATGCTAAAATCTTCCACAGAATTCAATTCAACATGACTACTAATAGAAAAACAAAATTCCGTAGGTTGCATATATCATAAAAAGAAATCATTCTCTAACATCAAGCTCCGAACTTAAAACAAAAAATAAACATCCAATTTCCAAAATAAAAACGATCCTGACAGTGTCAATACAAATTGCTGAAACCACCAAAATGCGAATATCACTTTACTCATCTTCCTGGCTACGCAACCTGGCCAATTTGTTGGTGACAACAATGTCCAACTGGGCTGCCCGCTCAACAATCTCCTTTCTCTTCTTGGTTGATACGTCATGGGCTATTTCCGCACAGTATGTCCTAGAATTTCATCAACCAGAAAAGTACAAACCAGACAGAGAAACAATGCTTAAAAGAAGTTATCAAAAGAATAAAGGTAGGATAGACATTATAATGTATACGTATATATAAAAGTACCTGTTGTGCATCATCAGAACTTCAAGCTCCTTCACATTGTGAACAACAAACTTCTTAAATCCATTGGGAAGATAGTGACGAGTTTTCTTGTCTGAGCCATAACCAATATTGGGCATTAGAGTGCATCCTTTGAACTTTCTCCTGACTCTTGAGTCAATACCCTTTGGCCTTCGCCAGTTTTCCTGCCAAGAAGATATATAAAAGCAAGCTACTGTTAGCATGGTTATCGATGATAATTAATGAAGTGCACAAAAATTTATGAGATGCACTAGAAGCTCAGGGAACAAAATATTTCAAGTTCCCTAATGAAATATAAGCAGAATCATAATAAGAGATGCGATACTACTACTCAATGTTTAGTGATGTAAACACACCATAGTTCAGTTTCAAGTACCTCTAATGTATGACTAAGAATCAGTGTTTTCTAAACAAGAAACCAAATATGTTTCACCACTATACTGCAACTGTCATGAAATGCAAATAAATAGGCTTGTGGTAAGGGGGATATTCATCTGAAAATCAGGAGCAAATTTATGCAGTAGAAAGCTCACATGGGATATGACAAACACTTGGAATCAAATTAAAAGAAAAAAATGCTTGTTAAAGCAATTTGAATCACTTTAAGGAAAAGAACTTATATCTAGTATAGAAACACGTGTGTACATATGCTATCATAACTGTCATTAAAAATCTAATGCTATAGCTTAAAGCAGCAATGCCATTAGTAAATGGAGGAAGTTCGGTCTACAAATCTCATACGAGCAAGAACAGTGAATAAACAATCACCAAGAAATGATTAAACAAGAAGTTACAAATGCGTGTAAAGAACATAACAAATACGGCCATTTGATAATTGACAATCCCATTAATGTTCTCCGGCATTGAAAGCATGGCCATTTCTCCAAAAGTTAAAACTACCAAACCAATGCTTTCACGGGTCGCCTCCATAAGGCTTACTCCAGTTCCCATCCACTATCAATCCTATACTTCCCAGCCTTGTAAAGCCAAAATGATGTGAAAGCAATACGAACATATGCCTTGACGAGCTGAATACTGTGACACAAGGAAAAAAACTTTTGCATAGAAAACAACATAAGGTAGATGTACCTTGACAGAAATCTTCCTATCACTCTGAGGCCTCTTGAACTTCTTCACACGCTTCTTCACAATTTTCTTGGATAGCAAGGGGACAGCCATTGTTTCTGTAAAAGGTCAGAGTAATCAAATCCCTGAGTGTTTGGACACACATATATGACACATGCACCAGTCCATGTAGAAGAAAGAAGCACAGAGATTAAATCCCTAGGATTGTTTGCCAGCCCCTAATCAAACCTATCAAAAATAAATTGAGACCTAGAAACTGAAACTCTTCGAAAGAGGAAAATTGAGGATATAAATATGCCATAACTACATTGCTTCAAGGGGGAAATCTCATCCTTAACCTGACGACCACAATTAGTAAAAAAAAAATCTTGAAATATCAGTGAACACAGGGCTAACAGTCATCAACTAACTAAGACAAACATTAAACACGCAGCTCCTCAAAACGAATGGTCATAAGTAAACTTTGATGGGGAACCCAAAAAGTATTGAAAAAAGTTATTATGGCACCAGTCATCTACCGAAAAACAACATTTCAAAGCAGTCCACGTCTAGGTACAGCTGTGCAAGTATTGGTAGAAAGATAGTACTTGTGACAACATGAGCTTGCATGGTGAAAATTCCAAAGGTTATTAACAATATAAGCATATAGATCTACGAATTTAGGAGAATCACGAGCAACCAGTTAAGATTAACATCATATCAAAATCAACAGAAACCGATTAAAATGACTACGGGAATGCAGTCCAAATTGACAAAAATCACACAGAAATGCAAACGAACGAGAAAACTGAAATATTCTGAAAATCAATTATTATCTCATGTCGTTGACATATCTATGAAATTAGCTACACATGTAAAATTGGAAGGAAAAGCTATAACATTCAGCGGAGGAGACATAGTAGGGTTTGAAACCTGCTGAAAGACTGCAAGACGGCTCCAATAAACCCTAGAAGAGCGAAGAAGAGAAAGATAGGGTTTGGAAACGACACTTATATATAGCAAAGCATTGTTATCCAGTTCACGGGCCCGTTCTATGAAGGAAAATTCGGATCCTTGTGAGCCCAAACATTTTCGTCTACTTTAATCGGGCATTCTACCAATGGGCTCCGCCTCCTGACCATCTTCTTTTGGGCCCATATCGGGTCCGGCCCAGATAGGGTTGTAATTACGCATCATTAGCCCAAGTTCCTCTGCATTATTATTAAAATTAAAATTATAAATAAATTTTCTTTAGTATATTTTATTAATTAAATGAGTATTGAGTGATAATTTAACATGGGATACGGGATATGGGTACAGTAAAACTCAAGAAATACGATAGAAATGGGTGCAACTCGTTCTTCTTTTATCTTAAATACTGAAATGAATAAAGAAGAGGTGGTTGTAACGCACAATTCAAACCAGTAACGCAAGGTGCAAGCAAGATATTAATTATGGTAATTAATTTCCACCCAAAAAAAAAAAAGGATAGATACTTAGAGGAGAAGAAAATCAATTAATTTGGTAATAAAGTGAACATAATCTCAAATTCCATATCCTAATCTAATTTGAAATGAGGAGATAATAAGGAAAAATCCAATACCAACCTCTCATTCGAGAGTTGAAAAGGAGTAATCCATGTATAAATCTAGTAAAAAATAAATATCAACTTTTTAATTTCTCAATTGGGCAAAAGCTAAAAAACTTTGAATGTAATCCGGAAGCATTTATTACTATTTAGCATTTTGCGCCTAAATTTGGCATGCAATTTGCAACTTGGCTTAATGCAAAACCCAGTAGACAAGATTCCTCACTAGCTGAAGTTTGAAATTCTGGAAAATTCCACCTCCCCCTTCTCTCGTTTTAGTCTTACATTAATTTTCTTTTCATCTTCTCTCTTTTCAGTTTTCACCCCCTTCCACAAACCCTCTATTAATTGGTTTCAGTCTTTCAATCTCTTCCGACCCAGAAAGTTTAATTGCTCTCGATTTCTTCTTTCATGGTAAGCCCAATACTATTCTCTATTTCTTTATGTTTTTTACTGTACAAACTAAACATGGCGGTGGTTGGTACTTGTTGACAGAGGCACTGTTTGGCAGTACAAGTCTGTAATTTTCTTTTTCCTTCTCTCTCTTTCTTTTGGGGGGGTCCCTGTCTATGTTGGTGTCAATGGTTAAAATTGGTGAAGATCATCTTTGACCCAATACTTTGAACTTTTAGAGGCCAATTCTTTGTTGTGGGGATTATTAATTGTGGTTAATCTTCTCTGGTTATCAATGTAATTTAGGCTACCCAAATCACTGAAAGCGAGGATCAGTTCAAGGTATGGAGAGGGAAAAATCTGGAACCCAAGAGGCATGGTGGAATAAGAGCTGCTAGTATTGCATGTGGTAAGTAATTAATTAAAAAGCAGTAAAATTCAGAAAACTTTAATTCTACGACTTTCAAAGGTGGTCCTTTTGAGTTTTCTGATGATGAAAATTACATGCATGTCAACTTTACCTCTTCATTTCTGTATGTCTCTTTGCAAGCAGAGTTATTTATCGAATAGTTGCAGCGAATCAAGACCAAAAACAAATTGAACTGTTCCTTTTACTCAGCGATTTGCCATTTTCTTGAATTAGATTAAATATCTCGTTAATCAATTAGATTAAAGATATTCTTAAATTGATCAAGCACGGTATATTCGTTGTCGATTTGTAAAGGACTTGTGACCCAAAAAGAACTCTGAATTGTAACTCTAAAATGGTCATTGAACTACAACCATACGAAGAATCACATTAGGGAAAATATATGGACCCAAGACCGAACCAGTCTCATGTAAGTTTGAATTGACTTTTTTAATAATCATCATTAATTAAAAAATAATTAATGAAATTAAAAACAAATATATAGATCATAATCATTCTCTAAACTCCATAGATAATAAAATTAATAAAATAATTAAATATGAATACATAATTAATTTTTTAAAATTTTTTAGATTTGCCAAATTATATTTGATTTAATCTATTCTGGTCCCATTTGAAATTTAAAAATTCTTACCTGAGACTTATACTTAATTATGAGTGTAGTGACATTTTTCTTAACATATGTACATATAGATACATAATGAGAAGAACCAAATAGGTATTCAGAGAAGTACAAAAAAAAAAGTGTTAGGTGTTCAGTTTTTAATAATATCATGGATTTGAATAAAACAGTTTTTTTTTTTTTTTAATATTTGTTCTCATTTGAAAGACATTTATATATTATCTTGATTAATATTTATATCAGATAATATGTATATTTGTACTAAAAATTAAATCTCTTGTTAAACATATTGCATGGAGAATGATGGAGCAGTATATTATTTTTATATGTATTGATGCAGTTGTGGAGGTGTTAGAGAACATGGTGTTCTTATGCAATGCCTCAAATTTCGTCACTTACTTCATAAAGTCCATGCATTATCCACTTGCGACGGCATCCAACATGGTCACCAACTTCGCGGGCACCTCTTTTCTCCTAACCCTTTTTGGCGGTTTCATCTGCGACTCTTTCCTCACCAGATTCACTACTTTCATTCTCTTTTGCTCCCTCGAGTTACTGGTACATATACATATACATATATATTTATATATATGTCTATATGGACGCACCCTCTATCTACATATACATATTTACATATCCCTCTCTTTCTTCTTGCAGGGACTTGTCCTACTGACAATTCAAGCTCAAACCCCAAGGTTACAGCCAGCAGTGGGCAAAACTCCTTCTTCTTCTCAACTGGCTTTTCTGTACACTGGGCTTTATGCCATGGCCACGGGTGTCGGTGGCGTCAAGGCATCGTTGCCTGCACATGGTGCTGATCAACTTGATCGCTCCAATCAGAGACTCATATCAGCCTTCTTCAACTGGTTCTTTTTCGGGCTGTGCATGGGCGGTTTCTTGTCCTGCACTATCATGGTTTGGATTCAAGAGAACAAAGGCTGGAACTGGAGCTTCAGGATTTCAGCCGTAGCACTCAGCTTAGCACTAGTTATTTTCGCTGCTGGATTCCCTATTTATCTATTCAAGCTTCCCAGTGGCAGCCCATTCACAAGAATCTTCAAGGTTTATAATACATGTATATACATCTTTAACTTACCTCGTTGTTATTTATGAGTTTGTTAATTATTTTGAAGTTGAAACTGTGGGTGTCAAGGTGCTTGTTGCTGCTATTAGAAAGAGAAGACACTCGATATCAGATGCAGAGATGAATCTTCATGCATTATCCCCAGTTACAAGAGCACAGAAGAAGTTCAGGTAAAACAAAGTTCAGAAATTTTTTGTTTTGGGAAATAATGATTTGACACCCAAAAGAGATTTTTGTCCATGCATGCATACAGGTTCTTAGATAGAGCATTAATGGATGAGAACATAAGTGAAAACGACGTTGAAGAAGCAAGAACATTCATCGGCCTCCTCCCCATTTTTGCAAGCACAATCTTTATGAGCTGCTGCTTAGCTCAGCTCCAAACATTGTCAGTTGTGCAAGGAAACCTAATGAACAGAAAACTGGGTCACAACTTCACCATCCCCGCTCAGTCATTGACAGTCATCCCACTCACCATCATGCTTTCATTCATACCCTTATACGAACACGTGGTGAAAATGTTTGGAAACAGAGTTTCATCCAAGTTCAACGTGTTTAAACCCCTGAAAAGAATTGGGTTAGGACTGATGCTGGCATCAGTAGCCATGGCAATAGCCGCAGGAGTTGAAGACAAGAGGCGGAGGGTGGCAACCAGTGATTCCCATAAGATAATCTCAGTGTTCTGGTTAGGGTGGCAGTACTTGCTGCTGGGCGTGTCTGATATGCTGACATTGGGAGGGATGTTGGAGTTTTTCTACTCGGAGGCACCGGCTAGCATGAGAAGCATCAGTACATCACTTTCTTGGGTCTCCACTTCAATGGGTTCCTTCTTGAGTTCAGTTCTGGTTTCGATTGCCAACTCGGTGAGTGGGAGATATGGGAAAGAATGGCTGGGAGGAAACGATTTGAATCATAATCGTTTGGATTTGTTTTACACCCTTCTCTGTGTTCTTAATTTCATTAATTTCTTCAACTATGTTTTCTGGGCTAAGCGCTATTAATTGTTTGTTGTTTGGTGGAACATGTAGATGTGTTTCTTTATAGCTAGCATGAATATCCCAGTGTTTATATTAATCATATCTTCAATTTTTTTAAATAAAAAAATTATTTATTTTTAATATCATTATAGTAAATTATATATAATTTAACAGCCATGTCATTCTAAGTGACATCTTTAGTAATGAAAAATAATCAACCCATTTATATAATGATTACTAATAAATAGAATTCAGTAATATTAATCAATCATTAATATAATTATATATGAAGGTTGGGAAGTGATTTACACCATCCGGTTCAACCCACTGTAATATACGGCCGAGAATGACCCCAATTTTAACCGGCTCGGTTCATCTAAATATGTGACATGAATCCATTACCCATCAAAGTATATATGAGGCTACCACAAACTTATCTCGTCATTTATGTTTATGCAATCAATCATATCTCCGCTCGTATCTCAAATTCATTGTAATTATTCTCATAATTTATGGGTAATAACTAATTTTTGCTTTTAAAAATAAAATATGGTAATAACAACTTTGTTATTTAAATTAATTATATCAAATCAATTAATTATGTATCAAACTTATATAATTTTTGCTACCATATACATGTAATACAAGTCTATATATGAATCTGGAGACTTGAATATTGGGCTAATTGTCTTTAAATTAGATAGAATACTTTGTGAATTGAGAGGATCACTAAAGACAGCAAAACGACTATTCCATAGCAGCATCCAAATATATATATATATATAAATTCAATTTATTACTCAGACGTATATATATAAGTATCATTTTCATTTGTTATATCTTTATTTTAACCTTAATACTAATAAAACTAAATACTGTAATGGGGTTGTAATAAATTTTTATTGACTGTAAGTCAAATATTATAATATAATCACTGTCTTGTTATAGTAATAAGTGATTATTAGTGAATAACTATCAAATTCAAACTTTATTTTATTCATCATATTAAACATACTATATAAATGTATGAGACAAGGTTCAAAGAGAATTTTTACTAGAAATTTGACGTTTTCCCTCCTATGTATAATTAATTAAGACAATAACATTAATGTTACCCGATGTGGAACGATATATCCCAAATCTAACTCATTACAATATTGTCTTTCTATATATATATATATATACACCCATTTACCAATTAACTCAATTATATCTAACTCAATTATATCCATATTTGGCAGAAAAACGCAAATCTTTATAATTTATTATTTATTAATCGAAAATTAAGATAAAGAAGATTAATTACTTTATTTTTTTTCTTAATTTCCATAACAAGATAAGTAAAATATGTCATTTAATGAAACGAGTCAAATTCTACCACTTTGAAAGCATTCATTTCATACTCCAATTTTGTAAACAATATCTCCCTGCGAATATCTTGTACAAAATTTTTATTCATTTTTTTAATAAACAATTATAAATTGACCATATTAAGCAGTCCTCCAAGAATCTTAAAAGTAAACTGAAAAGAGAAGCAGTTTTTTTCCTTGATTAGGAAAAAAGAAAGGTGTTGGAATCAACTTATTACGCGGGCAGGTCAAAAAGTTGTATGAACCCAAAGCCCAGATTTTGTACTCCAGAGTCTCCGCACTGCTGGAAAAATTCGAAAGGAATTTTATTTTCTGGTATTTATTCCAGATATTGTTCCAATTTATTGATATTTTCTGGTATTTTTTGTAGTGTATTTTATTTTTATTTTTAACCATATAAAGAAAATAAATAAAGTTGAATAAAATATTATTTTTAAAACTTTCTGAAGAAAATACGAATTTTATTTTCTTTTTCCACTACTTTCATAATCCACATTGTCATTTATGGGTGGATTATAAACTCGTATTTCACAACTATCAATTTCACCAACGGAAAACTGCCACGTACCCTTTACTCTCTTCTAACACGTGTCGAGTTATAATTGGCTACTGGTTTCACTTTGAATCAAATCAGTTCAGAAAAAGTGAAATCTCCGCCATTTCCACTTTTTGGATCTCCGCTTTTTTCTCTGCTACTCCTCTCTATATTTACTGATCAAAATCTGATAAAATCAACTCCCGCAATTCACAAGCTACTCCAAATCTCCAACCAGCAATGGCTTCTTTATCTTCTTCTCTTGCTCCGATTCTTCTGTGCGTCACACTATGGATTTCTCTCATCTCACCGGGACGTTCGCTCAGGTGTTCGTCACAGCAACTCTCGGCCAAGAACGAGTCTGTCCCTAAGTTCGCCAACTGCATCGATCTTCCCTCCCTCGACGCCTTCCTCCACTACACCTACAACGCCTCCAACTCCTCTCTCTCCGTCGCCTTCGTGGCCACGCCGCCAAGTCCCGACGGCTGGATAGCCTGGGCAATCAACCCGACGAGCACCGGCATGGTAGGCTCCCAGGCGCTCATCGCCTTCAAATCAGACGACGGCAAAGCCATCAACGTCAAGACATACAACATCAGTTCTTATCACGACGTGAAGGAGTCGAAACTCTCGTTCGATGTCTGGAACATGAGAGCCGAGTCTCTTGGGAAGGACAACTCGATCGCGATCTTCGCCGTGGTGAAGGTGCCGGAGAAGGCGGAGAAGGTGAACCAGGTGTGGCAGGTTGGGAGTAAAGTCAGCGAGGGGCAGCCGCGGGCACACCAGATGGCGCCGGCGAATCTGAACGCCAGAGCAGTGTTGCAGCTGGAGGGTAAGAGGGCGCCGAGCCCGTCGAGTGGTGCCACGGCGCCTAGTCCGGCAGGAGGCAGTAGTGCTTCTAATGAGACTGGGGACGGTGGAAGGAGAATAATGAAAAATGCGGGGTTGTATGTAGCATTATCTGTTTTTGTTGGCAGTTTTATAATTTTCTAGAATTCTGATATATTTTTTTTCTTCTGTTTTTTTTTTTTTATTTTGCTAATAATACAGCAAAAAATAACTCTCGTAGGGCACACGATGAATATGAAAATGTCAGTGAATTTTTTCTTTTTTATTTTAAAGTATTAAAATTGAAAATTAGCAATATCATGTTGGTTTTTTTCTTTTTTTGGTTCTTCTCTTGCTCTTGGGCATTGTTGGAATGATGCAACCAGTTATTAACAGTGGAAATGCTAAAAATGTGAACACGCATATTGTGGGTTCGTAATTTTTTAGAATATTAGTCTAATTATTTTAGTTATTAATCAATGAAGAAATTTTATCATTGATTTTAAAAAAAAAGAATTATGATGGTTGTTAAAAATTAATAGATAATATTTTAAATATAAAAATATAATACAATTATGATTATATTTTCTTTTTAATTTGATTTATTTAAACAAAAAAATAATTAATATTGCATCTATAATTTCCACAGGGAACACAATTAGATAAATTAACGAAAGTGTACGCTAGTAATGGGCCGATTCATTCTGATCTAATACATCCACACGGCACGTGAGTGGCCATTAATTTCCAACTCAAGTCAGATGCATCATTACACAATCCACGTGACTAATTACCATTTTATCCATCTAAATATTTCATATCCCCATTCTTTACGGAGTCAACATTCATTAGTCATTACGGAGACTCGTGCCAGAATTTAATGACCAAGTTGGTTTCTAATTTCTTAGTCGTGAGTCTCGGGCAGGATTTGGCGTTAACCAATTTGCTTTTTTAAATTCTTTTAGATGGACCAAAAATTTAATTACAGAAAATAAATATTTAATTTAACACGAATTAAGATCATATAATAAATTATTCATCTTGCTTTTTTTTTTTTTAGAGGTTTATTAGTTATAATAATCGTTCTGGTTCTTTCCTCATCTTCTTCACGTTTCATATCTCAATTGATCGCTGCTGAAAAATTGGATGTCTAAAAGTATTTAGTATTATAAGAAAAATGGAAATAATGCATACAGAGAGTGCGGCACTTCAAATTACAGAAGACGTATAAATTTTTAAACCGTGTATTAAACGAGGAAAAATTCTATTCTCGTAGATTTTTTTAGTCCACCCGCCACATCTAATGCTGCTTAAAAACTGATGGAACCACCTAAAACAAACCCTAATTTCAATAAGTTTCGTTTCCATTTTCTTTGGATCACTGCATTGGACTTGAGCTTTACCTTAAAAACACAACTTCCGAAATTGCAAAAAGTAAATGGATTAGGTCTAATAAAGTTAGTCCCACTAGTTAAATTAGTATTAAAAAAAAAAAACAAATAAACTTACAAATTTTAATGGATTTTGAATAAGAAAAATAATGAATAAAAATAATCAAATATTTTTTAGTGTCTATTTTCAAATAAGAATATGTCTATAATTTATTTTAAAATTATTGAGAATATAAGTGTAATATATACGATCCAATTATTCGTGTAATATATTAAATACATTATTATTTGATAATTTATTTTAATATATGTAATAATATTTTTATTATCATATTTATTATTTCATCGTTTAATTTATGTCATAAATTTTTTAATTAAATTTGTAAGTTTTACATCAAAATGAAAATCTTGATAATGAAAATAAAAATATTTTATAATTTATATTCAAATATTCTTAGTCGTTAGATCATTAAAATAGAACACTAATGATCTAGTAAAACTAATATATATGTGATAATCTTTATAATATAAAAATTAATTGATCTCATTAATTAAATCACATATATAAATTATGCATATAGAGATATGATCATTGAACTTATCAAATTGAGAATTTATAATGGTTAATGTTGTCTTAAACTATCAATAGAGTATTTTATCATTTTGATAAAACGTATGAATTTTTTTAAACCGAAAATCATCATAGTAATTGATAAATTATTTATTATAATTTGATTACAGACACATATGGTCACGAAACTGTAGTTGAAAGGATATTGGGTGTTATTAAATACTTGTAGAATTAATAATTAATCAATACATAATCTGTAAATTTTAATAATAAGTTTAAACTCTATGTTGTCATTTATTAT